TAAATGAGAATTTATATGATCCATTATTATTTATTCATCAGGATTATTTTGATGTTATGATCTTGATTTCTTCTCATTAATTATGCAAATATTCATGTTTCATGTAATAAATTCATAGAATGTTACATGTACAGCAAATTACCATCATGTAACTGTTATATTAGATAGTAGAAATGAGTAAAACAAAATGTGTCTAAGTATAACACTGATTGTATGAATGAAATAATAACGAAATATCTCAACAGTTTAACATAATTTATTTTTTTCAAGTGTTTTTCAAGTCAGTTTTCTGAAATGTGTGAAATATAACCAAGTCAATTGATATAATTTTCAGCTTCAGTTTATTTAAACGAAGTCAATAAACTTGATAGCGGGATTCTGAATTTATTCAAAGAATATTTTCACATAATTTATTCAGTTACTTGGAATATTGTTGTTAATCAAGCAATGATACTTGTAAAGTCGAATCAAGAATACTAGGAATAAGAAGTTTCACTGATAGTGTGGTGCGAGCTACTTATAAGTAGTATATGACGTGAGTGTCAACGTAAAGTCTGGTAGCATAATATGGGGGGAAGATCAAGAAAGGAAGAGTTAGAAAACAATGGAATTTGTATGGAACGCATGAATAGTGACAATGGATTGATGTTTGGCAACAGGAACAGTCCAGTTCCATAGGATGAACTGATCTTTTGCAAATGAACGATTTACGATATGGTTTTCCGATTTTACTGAGTAACTCTGTAATTTTCGTTAATTACAATTAGGTCGCCCCGCCTATGTTCTCCTTCACTACAATAGTACAGTTTTAGATGTACTCATAAACATTTGTTTTCAACTAGTTCATGTCAAAGAAAACCGATTATCTCAAACTGAATTTCAATAATCAATCTTCTCCATACACAAATATACAAAGTAATTCGAAGCACCCTTCCGGTGGTATGCTAAGCTATTTTTCATACGAAAAACAGACTGAATATTCAACACTTTGCACTCAAGTAATAAGATATTGTAGCGCACGGCGCAGCAACATCGTGAGCTCCACAGCCAGCACCAGTGGGTCACAATCGACAGACAACCTCGCCAACCGGAACCTCTGCGGCGCCTCCTCCCTGTCTACTGGTCCGACGAACTCCGTCACTGTTCACTCTGTGACCGTCTCCCACGCCGTCTTCCCGGCGGCACCGTCCAAGTTGTCGTATACAGCCTTTGCCTCACCTCCCCGCAGCGTCCCCAGCACCACTAACTCCACCCCGGGCCCCTTCACACCCACCAGCCCCACCACGGCCTCAAACTCCTCCAGGAAGCTCCGCAAATCTCCGTCCTCAAACTCCTTCGGCCACGGGAGCTCCTTCCTTCGTGCAGGCAGCGACACCAAATGTAGTGAAGGAGAACACAGGTGAGGGCAACCGAATTGTATTTAACGAAAATTACAGAGTTACTCAGTAAAATAGGAAAACCATATCGTAACCGGTAATTTGCAAATCTTCAATCCATCATCAATCCATTGTCTGACATTTCACTATTCATGCGTTTCATACAAATTCCATTGCGTTCCCACTCTTCCTTTCTTGATCTTCCCTCATCTTCTGCTGCCAGACATTACGTTTACACTCGCGTCATATACTACTTATAAGTAGCGCACACCACAATATGATGCCTTGTATACACTTCTAAGTAAGCTATCAGAAAGAGATCTTACATATATACATATAATAGGCAATAGACTAGCTATTGTATTTTCCCTTTTAAAAGCCTTAAAAATCTTTGTTAGTATAAATCATGCTTTTTTTCCTAAAACATTGACAATCATAGGATACACACGCACAAAGAAACCATTAATGTGAATGATTATTCTTAATTATTTAAAAAATAAAATCAGGAACCTTTGAAATAGCAACTCATCAATAAAATAAGTCATTGATCAATTGAGGGGCATCATATGATTTACGATTTAGGCATTGATTGAATAATATCGTCTGGATGACACAAAATATGCGATTTAATTCTTGATTAACAAGAAAGGCAGAAGCATAACAACCAATTTGTGAAAATTTACAAGTCATAAATTTATGTTCACCAGCTGATTAATTGGATGAAAATAATCTCATATAAACTGACCTCTTGTCACCCTATCATAGTTTAATTAAACTGACTACCAGTAGATTTTAGTAAATGAGAAATATAGTGGTACCTCAAATAATGACATACTATTGATTAAAAATCCTGAACTTATTTAAAGAAGGCATTGTTCACACGGGCTTTGATTGAACAGACATAATTTTTGAATGAAATATGAAGACGAGACCTTATACCTCTTGATATGTACACATCAATAACTCAAAAGACCACTAGGATTAGTTTTTAAATAACCAAGTAGTCCAGTAGTATTTACGTTTGGTAAAATAATTGTTACTGTAGGTCTCTACATTATTCTTATAACCGACGTTTGCAGACAGGTGTATTTGTAAGATAAATAAGCAGTCACTAGATCAAGTTCTCAACTTGATCACATAAATAAACCATACCACATTTCCATTGGTTTAGATAGTCGACCAAAATCTCTGAATAAAAAACTTGACTGTAGTGGAGTTTCATTCTCTGAGCTGGATGTTTTTTGGTTGTTGGTGTAGTGCCTACACATTACATTTGAGTTCGCTTATATTTAATTTGGTTAAGCCTTTTGATTAACTTATTTAACCAAGCTATTTGTATAGCAACAACTTACATGTACCATTGGCTTTTAGTACTGTCTGGTTTGTATGAGCTGGTACGATTGAACATTGCTTACCACCTACGTGCATATTCATCCTATTCGCCTTAATGTTAATCTTTTAAATATTTCGATGATTCAAACATTTTCCTTTGTATATATATGAACATTTTAATTTTATTAATTCATTCGCCGATTTGTTCACTCGCTAGTTCGCTTTCTTGCTTGCCTTCCGGCACTCGCATATCGGTTTTATCTTTACATGCCTGGGGTGTGCAAAAATAAACGTATTCAAGCCTCCCTGTTTACCTTCTGATCTATAAACCATCAGGCGTTATTTAGTAACGATCACCTGAACGAGTAAATTATGGAACACATTGCTCACAACAGTGCCTATGGTTAGATGTTTTATTTTAAACCTATTCATCGCATGCAGAGATTAAATGCAACCTTGAATGTCAACAGCGAGAAAATACAAACAGTTGAAGGTCATCGTAAGACAGTTAAAGACCCTAAAATTATCGGTTGTAACAATGTTAAATTAGGTCAGGCATCACACATCAAACCAGATCACATACTTTTTTCATCATCATAGGATGCACAGAGTAATCATTTGCAATTCAATCCCTTTTCTGTAGTTTTTTTTCGTAAAAATTAAGGGGAATTCTTTCACTTGTTTATTTATCCGATCACTTACGAGCAATTGAAAATTTTTTATAAACTTGGTGTGTTTTTGATATACCTTTCAAAAATTAGCTATTTTCGAGTTAGAACCTAGTGAACAACTTAACAGTAACGAGTTCACCACAAAAGCCGAGAAGTTTTAACTCAAAAATCAGTAGTGTAACCAAGTTTTGTCGTTTCTTAATAAAACAACTACGCCCAATGAGGTGTATATTTAACACTACATAGTTCTACATGACCATTGGTAACAAACGCAATTGTAATTATAGTGTGGCAGGATTTGGTAAGATGCATTTCGCCCTCTCCAAATGCAAAATGTTGCTTCAAGATTGGCTTGTGACGGCACCCGAACTAGTGATAGGGAGTGAATTAGTCGGGCGTGTCGACCGCTCCACTTATCTCGGGAGTCTCATCAGTGCTGATAGCCTGGTGACTGACGAAATCGCAGCACGGATACAGAGGGAAAGGCTGGCTTTCGCCAAGCTGCGTCACTTATGGCGCTGGCGAGATATCCGTTTGCTGACTAAAGGACAAGTGTACTGCTCAATAGTTCGATCCGTCCTAATTTATGGCTGTGAAACATGGCCAGTGAGAGTAGAAGATATTCGTAGGTTACTGGTTTTCGATCATAGGTGTCTCCGAAGCATTGCGAGACAACCGAGTAAGCAAAGCTATAGTAAGGAAACGGGTGTTAGGTAAGGATGGCAGGTTCATAGATGAAGTGTTGAAACTCCATAAGTTGAGGTGGTTGGGAAACATGTTACGTATGCCTAACCACCAACTGCCGCGACGAGCTAATTTTTGAGATATAAAGATAGGCTGGAAGAAAGCTAGGGGTGGCCAAACCAAAACATTGCAGAAATCCATGAAGTCACTGACAAGTGGACTGAGTCATGTTGGCAGATGTAGGCTGCCTACCTGAGGTCCGCGGGACGAAAGTAACTGATGGTTAGAAACCTTGAACGACATGACTCAAAATCGTTTGCAATGGCACAGGTGCATTCATTCATTGTGTTCTCCCAAATTTTAACCTTCTGAAATCCTCATTATCTCTCTCTTTCCCCTTCTAAATTTATCTCACTGAACTCTACTTCTTCAATAATATCTTCGATCCCTAATACTCTACGTTACCGATAATGCGGTATGGCAACCTGAACTGATGTATGAAGTTCTACGTTGTAACTGACTGACCGACCATACTACAAGATAACTTAGTTATTGGACTAAAATGAAAATAAAAACGACAATTTCTTTAAAACGAATAAAATATATTACGATTTATTTAATTTTTTTTACTTGATTAGTATTGCTACACTGATATTCCACAACAAATATATATATATATATATATATATATATATATATATATATATATATAAATTATGTCGTACAAAATAATGACTGAAAAGTACATTTACGTTGGAGACAAATATTGGATACATGCATGAATGGGAGTTAAAATACCGGACGGATATGAAACAACTGATGACTGATTATTAGTTGATTGATTACATGATTGAGTTTTTAGAGAACCACCGATGAGCAATAATTAGAATTCATTTCAAATGACTACTTTAGTGAATGAATTTTATGTAGTTATTAAAATAAAAGTATGGAATATATATATACGTATATATAGAAGGCAGAAAAACTGAGAATGGAATGGAAAGAATAAATGTACACACACACGCAGACGCACGCACACGCACACACAAATTGAACATAACTACAAACACATACACTTAGGATGATGATGATGATGATCACACATCACAAAATGTAAATTTCTTTTGAATAGTTAGTTTTGTTCTGATAAATCAAGCTTTATTCTGATGAACTGTTCGAACTGATTGACCAGCTCGATTAAATGAATACTTAGTTATGGCCAACATAATGCATACAATAACCAATGGAGATAAATCATGCGGTTGTCCAATGAATTGCCGTAGACGAGTTAATAAGATTGATATGATAGTTGGATCGTGTGGACGATGTCGCTGATAAAAAGAAAAATGAAATTTAAAAAAAATGAGAAGAGTGGTAGTAGCATACCAATGAAATTCAAAGTTTATACTGAAAGGTTTACTGGACTAAAAAGTACAACAACAATAATAACCATATTTCTTTTTGATGAAGACGTTGACAACGTGCAGTTTTCTGAACATCTTGAGCAACAATGAAAGTATGTTTAGGATTCGATTCTCCGCCTCCAAATGCAAAATGATGCTTCAGGATTGACATCTAGGAATGAGATATTGTTGTTTGATTCCCTTTCCATTGTGAATTTTTTATGTCACCAAGGACGTTGTCAGTCAGTCAGTTAAAAGGTAGGACTTCGTACGTAAGTACATCAATTCAGGTTGCCATACCACATCAACACAGAGACGCAATTGTTAGTTTAAATCCAAGAGCGATAGCGATAGTAGAAGTATTTAGTAGTAATGGAGAAGATTAGGGAGCGAAGATATAATTCGACAAGTATAATTCAGTGAGATAAATTTAAAAAGAGAAAGATAGAGGTGATGAGGAATTCAGAAGGTTAGAATTTGAGAGAACCCAAAGAGTGGATGATTCAATACTTCATCTATTGATTTGCCATACCTACCTAGTACTCATTTCCTAACAACAGTATTGCTTATACGGTTGTCGCAGGATATACGAGCAATACTTCGGAGACACCTATGATCGAAGACAAGCAACCTACGAATATCCTCTACTCTTACCGGCCCAAAGACGTTGTTGATCAGATTGTAGGTGTTCGTTTCTTTCGATGATGACGAATGTGTTGTCTGCATAACGAACCTACATTTTTGGCTTGATCACTGGTATAAAAGCAATGCTCGTTTCTTTTCCTTGCAGAATTTGTTGTTGAATTGGAAATACGTTGTTAGGCATAAATCGGTGAATTCTAGTAGACTTTGACTCTGACTCCGACACTATAACACTCCTTACCCTCATAAAACGCTTCAGACCAACTGCTAATAGACCTATGGCTCATCTTTTGTTGTTTACTACAATTACACATAATTCCATTTATTGGAGCTCATTATTTATTTATGCTTAATACTAGTTAGCCAGAGTAAAATTTTATAATCTTTTAGTTAGTTAATTGTTTCATAACTAAATATTGTTTTCTGATTAGATGATAAATCTCTCAAAGTTGTAAGTATATTTAATTCTACTCTATTTATTTGTTTTAAACTGATGTAACGCTTGCTTAAATAATTCCCAGCTAATTCCTATTGCTTAGTATACTCTGACCACAATACACTGGAGAAATTATATTCCAAATAGCAAGGTTAAATGGAAATACGAAGCCGAAGCCGACGGCAAAACAGATACAACGTTAGTATCTTAATAGTTTTTACATGAGAAGCTTCTGGATTGTAATTCACGTGATCGACTGGACTAGATTTAGCAAATCAGCGTGCAGCTAACAACACGAGAACTTTCTACCCTGTTCTCCAAGAATCGATCACGCGCTGATTGGATAGGAAATTAGCCAATCAGAGCGCAGCGACGTATTCATGCTTTAATTTCATCTATGTACCACTAACACAAACCGTTATTATGCGCGAATATAACTTTATCTATTCTTTGTTATTCTCATACTCGTCATATGGACAATTATTTTTAAACAGAGTTTCCGCATGTTATTTCATTTCAACTTTGTGATTATTATTATTATACAAGCCACTTTATTTATTAAAAACTAGTACGTATACAACTGTATAGCTTCAGGGAACCATTCTTCAATAAATTGCTTTTAATTTTAAAAAAACTTCATTTTATGTGAGAAGCAAGAAACAGTAAGATTTTAATAGGAACAGCGTTTCCTACAACTAGATTAAAAATCGAGCTATTCACATTTTTCGTTGATAGTGATAAAATATGAAACTTACGCGTTTTCCTACTAAACCATTTTCTACCACAGCGTTACGTAATATTTCAGAAGATAATGTAACTGGTGATAAGTATTCGGATTTGAAAGTACGTTTCCACCAGTCCTTGCTAAAATTATAAAATGAAAAAGTGACAATTAGAGTTAAATAGAGTATAACTGTTAAATGAGGGAATTTTACAAATTAAGATATTACAGAAGTGTACTAAGAGATAAGAAAGGAACAGAAAGCGAGTCCAACCCAAAATAATCCTTACATTTGTGAAACTTTAATTAAACAATGAATCGATGAAATGATTTCAAAGATTCCCAGAAAGACTGTTTTATCAACCAAATCGAATGTCAACTGGAGCGACCCGTCAAGAACAAGTAACGCCGGCTAATTAGTGGGATTCAAGAATAGTGGGACAAGTTGACACGCCACTTTTAAGAGCTCTCAAATAGATCAACCCTCTGAGCCCATCGGTCATTAAGGCAACATACACAAACCTTCCTATACATAGATGTATACCATGTACTGATCTGGCCCCCCCTAGCTTTCATCCAACTTATTCCTACACCGTAAAATATAGCTCGACGAGGCAGTCAATGGTTATGCATACGTAACACATGTCCCAACCACCTCAACCGATGAAGTTTCAATATTTCATCGATTGATCTGCCATTCTTACCTAGCACCCGATTCCTAATAACATCGTTGCTCACTCGGGTGTCCCAGGATATACGAGCAATGCTTCGGAGACGTCTATGATCGAAAACCAGTAACCTACGAATATCTTCTACTCTCACTGGCCATGTTTCACAGCCATAAATTAGGACGGATCGAACTACTGAGCAGTACACTTGTCCTCTCCTGAGCCATAAGTGACGCAGCTTGGTGAAAGCCAGCCTACCCCTCTGTATCCCTGCTGAGATTTTATCGCACACCTGGACATCGGTAGTGGTGAGCGGTCAACACGCTCAACTACCTCACTCCCTAACACTAGTTAAGGTGCGAATGCAACCCAACCTTGAAGCAACATTTTGCATTTCGAGGGAAAGATCGCATCCCAAACATGCTTGCGTTGTTGCGTAGGGCGGTCAGAAGACTGCATTTTGTCAGCGTCTTCACCAAATAGAACTATGTTATCAGCATACTCCAAGTCAGCAAGTGTATCTCCTGGTAGAATGTCCACTCCTGAAAAGTCAGACGAAAATAAAGTTAACTGTAAAAGCATGTCTATGACAAAACCAAACAAGAATGGAGAAAGTGAACAACCCCGACGAACACCACAGGAAGTTATCAATTCCAATGACACTTCGCCATAAGCTCTAACTTGACCAGTAGTGTCCGAGGAGAGAACTTGTATAAGGTTACTGTACTTATTTGATACACCTTTGAATGACCTCACGATCGACAGAGTCGATAGGATAGGTTTGGCATTGCTAGTCAGTGGCCTATGTTTCATGAAGAGTAGCAGGAATGAATAAATACTGACTTTGGCAGTTGTAGTACGATTAGCTTTTTGATAGAAAGTAGTTTGAAACGCAATAAAAAACACGCGCATTCGATAATTAGTTGCATTGGTATTATTATTTATTGATTATTTAATTTTTTCACATTAATTATTTATACGAAATGGGATTTGCTAAGTCACAAAAAATATTTATTAAGTAATATTGAAACCATTCTGATAATAAAACATATATATGGTAATACGACATCGTTAGTTATAACCAAGACAAAGCCTAAAACCTTGAAACAAAAGTGTAACAGTAAACAAATCAATAGGCATGAAAACAAAAATATCATACTTATTAGGAGAATCAGTGAAATGGTAGGTATATAGATGACCTCGAATATATTTTGGATTATTCGGCAGACTAGATATGTCGAGCAGTTCCAACACTAATTAAAAGGAGAAATGCAAAGTGAAATAAATTCTCAGAAGAAAAAAAACTATAATTATAATACTAAAGAATAATATTAGTTGAAGGTGACAGTATCAGTTGGCCTATAACAATCATAAGGGTTAAACTTGACATCTAACACAACAATGTAGTTGCAGCCAGTGATTGCAACAATATTACGTCAAGCAGTTACAAATTTGCACCTGAAATATCTATTTACCACCAAATAATAGAAGTAATCCAGTTAATAAGCCTAAAGAATTATATTAACATACAGGATGATTACACCCAATTGTCATGTACCACTGATATACTCGTCAATTGACATGCTTGAACTATTACGAGTTCACCTTACTCGGTAAATGAGAGCGAAGCAATGATACAGTGAAACGATAGGCTATCCTGGTTTGATTGTGACCAGCCCTGCTAACTATAGCAATAAGTCTTGATAAGGCGTAGAAAGTGTATTCTACAAGCACGCAAATCGAGTTTATCTATACATCATAGAAACGTCCTTGGGAAAACCACAAAAATAACTTACTAAAAAACACATCAACCAATGACAGTTAAGGATTTTTCGAGTGGGAAATGTAAGCTGACAGTCAGCTGAGCAGCCCATGCGAGAAAACACAAAATCCAAAATTAGGACCTTTATCAAGTGAGTTCTGAGGATCGAACGTGCCCAACAACCACGAAGCGTAACACTGACTGAAATAAGACTATAGTGTACATAGACTGATGATATCCGTACGAAAATAGAACACAAGTCCGTAAAACGATCACTTGTTCAGTTAATATTTGAAACGGATATTTATAGTCAAGTATTATGATAACAAAAATGGCGATAGAAGTTAATTGACGGAGCAAAACTCCAATTTCGTTGAATAACACCAATCGGAATTATGTCATTTTAAAAACAAGACTTGCTTTTATAGGTCTTTACTGATTAACTTCCCTACTCATTTGTGAACAGATAACAAAAATTAGAAGTGTTGTTTATACTACACAGACATAGATTGAACTCTTCAATAGTTCAACGTATAGACTTATCATAAACATAAACATGGGCATCAGTCATGTCACTTAACTGCTTTTTATTCTCTGTAGCACATATTTATATAAACCGATGAACTGCGTTTAGCCGTTGTTACGCATGCACGCAAACACGTCAATTTGATATGCTTGAACTATTACGAGTTTACCTTAGTCAGTAAACGAGAGCGAGGACCGAGGATCCAGCGACATGACATGCTACTCTATTCCGAGTTTCCCAGCCCCCATTGAATAAAGGAAGATTTGATATGAAGTAGAACCTGTCTTCTACAAACATCCAGAAAGTACGAGGTCCAAGTCCAGAAGAGAACCAGGATCCCGGGTCATAAAACGTTAAGGATAATTCATATTTATACATTTAGGTCGAATAGGAAACAGGAGACCAATCAGAAACAACACTGAAGTACGTGACATTGGTAGCTAAGACGACCATAATATTGACCAATAGGAATCGACCAATAGAATTTACACTTACAAAATGATTCTTCGAAGGATATTTAGCGAATATCCTAACAGCCATATATCATATCAAAGTCACATATCGTCGTTTTAACACTGACAGTGAAGACCAATACCTTGAAATGTATAGTAAATTATCTAGTTTTAACATAATCACTATCTAAAATATTGATATGAGGAAAATAAAAACTGTAATGCGCCAGATACTGTAAGTAGGTGTTTAAAAGTTCACTTCAAATAACGAAATTCTGTTTTCTTTTTTAATTATAATAAACCTCACTTATTTTCACAAACAATTCAGCATTGAAAACCATTGTTTTAGAAAAAGGAAAATTCAAATAATTTTAATTCGAATGATCACGTTGATAAAAAAGGGCACACATTGCTTCATCACAGTAAGTAAGTAATTGGGCACTCACCTTCAGGTTGTTGATTCAGTAATCGATAAATTAAATTCATCAACCACGGATGATTACGATAGTTAGTAAGCGCAGCAAACCACATTTGCCAATCTAAACGCGGTTGATGTGGGACTAGATTAACAAAAGAATGCAGTAAATTCAGTTGAGATGCATATTTTTTTTACAACAGTTCAGTAGGCAGATTTTTTTGCTCAGAAAAATATGCCTATTTCTATTACTACTGCATAACATGTTGAAGAAAAGATACTAAAAAAATATCAAAGACAACTAACCAGTGTATGATAACATATATCATTTTAATTTTCATCATGAACAATATGCTAAAAAATTGCCATGTAAACACATCACTATCATCTTCAAAAATTAATTATTTGATAAATAGGATAGTGGATTATTTAATAATATGACCAAGTACTTTAAAGTATGAAACAATACCGACTTATTTAAAATATCATCGTTTGATGCTACACGAAATAGTTCTTCTGTCGAAATTTTACATGATAATGGTTGTGTTTGAAACAGTTCAAATGATGAAACCGAATGTATGCTCAAAACTTATCAACTAGTTAATTACTCTATACGGTTTCATTACCAACGAACAGACACAAGGAAATCACCACCGTTTAGTGAATGACGACTACGAAAAGTACATACATACATTGTAAGTGTTCATTAGAAAAAGTAAACTTGATCAACTGAACTGTAGTACAGTGAAATAGTTAAACTCAAATATTTTTTTAAAAAATATAAGCGCAACTATGTACTTTTAAGGATACTGGAATCCTCAAAAGCTACTGAGCTGAAGTTTCGTTCACATTAAAGATGAATGAAATTGTTAAATATCGCACGAAAAACACATGTGTACCAATAGGGAAAAAGATATTAACTAGGAAAACTTTAAAAATTTTAATACTGTTCACTGTTGGCGGGACATAGATTGGACTAAAGCATCATAGCGTTGTCGCACGCTGATTGGCTCTTTCGTATCCAATGAGCGCTTGCCAATACTGAGGGAACATTCTAGAATCTTCTCAATCGAAAACGATAAGTATACTAATGTTTCGAACTTCTCTGAATTCGATCTAACTCAACTATTGGAATGTAATCTATTTCCTATTCAACCGCGTTCTGATTTGGGGGAACAGTTTCGAGTATATTGGTGTCCGAGAATACTAAGCCTTCGGAATAGCTGGGTTGTAATAAGAGAGAATTATAACAGTTCACTGATTATTGTTACACAATAAATGCGCTGTAAATTACTGTATTTATCAACTATTGGCAATACAGATAAATAACTGTGACACTGACAATTGGTTACGAAAACTTTCTCTAAACAGTAAACAATATTAGGCACTAACTTATCACAAAATACACTATATCGAAGAAATGAATGTAATTTTACACCAAAACGATTCCACAATGAATTGAACTTTACAATAATGAATACTTACTAACAATTGGAAGAATTCTATCAACACGACCAGGTTTAAAATTGAATTCATATTCAGACCATGGACCAGTTGGACTTGATGCCGCCTCAAGGATAAGTTCAGGTCGACCACCAACTCCAGTCATTCTTAAGTAGAGTAACGAATTACAACAACAACAAAATATGTAGTGAAATGAATAAAAACATCTGAAAAGTACATCATCAAACAATGTTTAATGTTTGCACAAAATAAAACGCATGATATAAAAAGAAAGCAACCAGAAACTAACCGGCGAAATAGGCCATAACTATTAGTAATATAATATGGTTGTAAATGTTTGTAAACTTGACGAATTTGTGGCGGTAATTGTGTGCTCGAATCCAGTGATGCTAATGGTACCTAAAATAAATAAATAGATCAATTATATAAGTAGTAAGATAACAAAAAAAAACACTATGAAAATGTTGCAAACATCAAAACCTCGTCTGAAAATGTAATTGAGAGTAAAAAAAAGCAGTTTTACTACAAAAAAAAGTAAAACAACAGTGAACAAACAAACATAATCAATCTCAAAAGTGAACAGTAAAATCACATGTTTTTTTTTAGTGATTTGACATCAATTAAGTGATTGAATTTTTTTTTTAAACAATCTCATATTGTACAAATGATGATAATCGGTATCCTGTTTAATCAGCTGGATAATTTAAGAAAAGTTTGAACATTACCTACCTGAAGAAAAAATGTCAACATGCAGAGAAAACTTGTGAACAATTCAAAAACTATCTCACAAAAAAAGAAAATAGAAAGCAACTTTCAAATCTTCAGTTGATCATTTTCAAAAAGACAAAGTGTACACAGAATGAGGTTAGGTTGAATATCCTATCATTTCAAAACACATTATCTCTTTTGAACAGTGCTTTATTAGCCAAATGCCCTTAGATATTTCACTTTCTTCCTTTTGTTTTGAAACAGTGATGAAATGTGGCCTAATATAATAAGTTGAATCACAATGCTTAGTAATTGTGTTTCAATTATTAACTATAGTTATTTTTGAACTGTTAAAATACCATACAATTTGAAAGTGAAAAAGTTACAAAAATAGTCAGGTTAAAAGTGAAAATTCACCAGAATTTTACAACATAGTAACGGAAAAACACAAACGAACACAAATTACTTACCAAACTAGCCATAAGTACGGTCAAACCAATAGAACCGATAAGAATAACGCCAACTAATTCATAAAGTTTGCATCGAAACCGACGTGCACTTAACGCTCTATTAAGTAAGTAACCAATGACAATCGGTGGTAACGAACCACAACAGTGTAAACAATTAAAATATTAGGATAGATGGAAAGTAATAAAATAGAATAATAGAAACTAGCAGCTAATTTAATTTAGTCTTCATCAGAGTAAAGTAATAAATTATATTTGCATAAAATGAATATACCTATTCTTTTAGCTTATAGTTTTTTTTGCTTAGTAATACAAGAGTAGGACAGTAGTAGTGTGATGTGAGCTACTTATAAGTAGTATATAACGTGAGTGTCAACGTAATGTCTGGCAGCAGAAGATGGGGAAAGATCAAGAAAAGAAGAGTTAGAAAACAAAATGGAATTTGTATGAAACGCATGAATAGTGACAATGGATTAATGTTTTGCAACAGGAACAGTCCAGTTCGATATGATGGACTGATAATTTGCAAATTAACGATTTATGATATGGTTTTCCAATTTTACTGAGTAACTCTGTAATTTTCGCTAAATACAATTTGGTTGTCCTCACCTGTGTTCTTCTTCACTACAGTAGTACTACAGCAGGTAAGTTCTTTATCAATATGAACAGCAGTATTTATGCAGTACACTCACTGAAGCAATTTATTTTTTATCTCATTAATGAGGCTACATAAAACATCACACTCATTATAACTGTCTCCCATATGGTATAAATATACCGGGATTCTCTGTACCTACGTCGTTGAATTTTTAATGGCCTGGAATCTGGCTCCGATTTGGACGAGCGATTGAATATGCTATCTTTCACCTAATTTTCGGATATTATTCTTCGACGAACTCCGTTTGCACAACGGCACTTATTATTAAAAGCTTAATATGGTTTTATCTGGATGAATTTATTTCATACATTTGCGTAAGCAGACAAACAATAGAATACGATGCGAAGCAACGCGAAGCGGAAAAGGCGAGTGAGCCAACTCATTGTTGAGGCATAACTAAGTAATTGTAATCAGATGAAAATAGGATACACATGTGATAAGCGAAACAAGCAATGCACATATGTACTCAAGTAAAAACAACCAAAGTTGTAAGTGAATAACTGACAAGGTCGAAAGATGTGTGAATAACTACAGAGAAATGGTTTAATTAATCTGTCTGAAGGTTGGTACACACCATGTGGGTTCGACATATTAATACACAGTACAGATTACAGGATTGAGCTGAGCTGTTCAGTTTGCAAGAAGCCTGGATGGAGTGTGTTTAAAGCTAGGAGCTGTGAGCAAATCAGTTTTGTGCCTGGATGGAGTGTGTTTAAAGCTAGGAGCTATGAGCAAATCAGTTTTGTAAGTTAAGTCCATAGAACTATATAGTTAACAAAGCAAAATGAAAACTAGGCAGGTAAAAGGTTTGACAAATGGTTACTGGTACTAAATAAAAACAAAATTTACACATCTCATATTAAAGAAATAACCCAGGAGAATGCTCACATAATTATACTGTGCAGAACTTCTACACAGAAAAATGCGATGCCAAGAGAAATACTACATTTGACAGCTGTATTTACGAACCAAGCAAATTCCCTTTTAGTGAAACCTGAGTTTGGTAAGAAAACATTAACAAAGATGAAAGGTGTAGTAAAATATTCACATAACTTGTTCATATTTCAACAATGCTGGAAATCAGAAAATCAATTTATAGACAATCTTACAACTACAACTTTCTACAATAAGGCGGAACAAGTGGGTGAAATGAGTCTAATTTCTGTGATATAAAATAGTTCAAGAAGTATCTGCTAAAAAACTAATATGTGTATTTGCATATTGAAACCATTAATCAATCATGATTAGATGACCTGGAAGCACTGAAAGACGGACGTTTCGTCCTAGTATGGAACTCATCAGCAGTGCGCATCCACGGCTCCTGCCATTCGCAAGATTCGAACCCAGGACCTGCGGACTTGCGCGCGAACATCTAACCTCTGGACCACTGGGCTGGCACCTAACGGTGTTAATGTCTAACTCTAATCAATTTACGAATTTTGCGCGACCGCACCCATTCGTCTTAGGTAGTTACTGCAAACACCCAAAAGGGTTTATATCTACTGGTCACGTCTTCTTACTAGAACTCCGAGAATTTTCTTACGAAGCTATGGGTGGGGTCGCGCAAAATCCCTAGATTGATCAAAGTTAGACATTAACACCGTTGGATGCCGGCCAAGTGATCCGGAGGTTAGGCACTCGCGCGCAAGACCGAAGATCCTGGGTTCGAATCTTGCCAGTAGCAGGTAGTCGTGAATGCGCACTATTGATGAGTCTCATACCACGACGAAACGACCGTCTTTCAGTGATCGCAGGTTTCTAACGGTGGTCTAACAATGATTGACTGATGATTTCAAATGTGTAGAAACACTGATCATAACTCGAATGTGCGTATGTGTATGTTAAAAAGACAGTTCTTATTTACTCAGACAAGGTGACTGATACATATGATAAACATTTAGTTTCATATGCAATAAACTCAACAAATTAAGTAGTAGTAAACAAATGAGTACAAGTTCTTCGAATTCATTGTAGATTTTTATTACTCAAACTGGTATAAAATGCTTACATTCTTTTCGTGTAAGATATGAAATAAAATTATCTATACGTGGCAATATATAAGGCATGGATTATCTGGGATCCAACAACAACAAAGATTACTGTACAGTAGTGAAATGGGTGTTTCTTCAACTGCTTAGATAAAAAATTCGATTGTTCTCGTTTAGGAAAAAGACTTCGAAATTACAGATTTTATTATGAACAGATACGGTTACAATTAGGCTTAGAAATATATAATTCGACCATTAAACATAGAAAGTCACAAAAATCATTAAGCAGTTTTGCATTAAACAGTTTAAAATAAAATGGATAGGTGCACATTAATGTAACATTTTTCCAAACCACTAATAATTGTTCAATTTTATATGATATGTAACTAATTTTAAAGCCAATGTCTGATTTAACTAACAGGAATAATGGAAGCCAAAATAAAGTACTTTTGATGATGAAAGAGTTAATATAAACCTATTTTACCAACCAAGATAAAATCTTACCCAACACCAACATCGCCTACTCTAAAAACTAGTAAACAAGTCTAGGTCACAAGCAAAGCAGACGGCTGCTTATATCCAATTAAAATAAAGCTTTTTATCAACTAAAGATTATTCAACACTGTAATCAATAAATATGTTGTTCAGTTATGACTGAATGTACATTGATGAGTAAACAATTAAACACATTGCCAAAACGATGCATAATAGTAAGTTAAAGAAGTTAAAAAAAAAAACTCTGAGAACAAATGTTTGTTTACCAATAACAATATTGTCTAACATCAGATACAATTTTGAACATACCTACAGAGGTAGTAATTGAATGATTGGAAATGGAAAAGTTGAACAGATAACCACTGATCCCGAATACTGAGAAGATAAGAAACCATGAAGTCGTAAAAGACAATAATCCAGACATGGTCCACTTTCGTCTACGCCCTATGCAATTATCCGTATAAAATAAATGATAAGGTGAAGTTAATTCTAAAACAAACTTAATAAGAGCTTGTCAGAATTTATAATGAGAGAGAACAAATAGTACATACATGTCTGCCTAATATAACGTTATAACCACGGTTTTGACTACTACGAACATAAATTTATTGTTACAATGATTAAATGCTGATCAATTGAAAACGGAAAAAAAATATGATAATAGTTTAACTATTAGCACGACTAGATGTATTGTTTTGTTAAACTCAATGAGTCTCTGAGCTAAACTACTATATGACTGGCTAATTACTGTTTAACGAGGTGAAATACTTGATACACATACTAGATTGCTTTTTTCATTACAACACACATTCTTGGTAGTGAGCGGATAACAGACGAGAATTCGAGAGACATACAGAAATCTCATTGTGTATTTATCAGTTTATATTATAATCTCCAAATGCTTGATAAGCTGTAAGTTAGATAGAGAAGTAATTTATGGTTACGAGGTACAGTTATAGTAAATTAAAAATATAAAGATTCTCAGGGTTTTCGCAATAATATTAAAGTATTCGTTATGTTTGGATGAGCTACAAGGCTGATTTTTATGACAATGAAAGATTTAAAAACAAGTTAAGCTTAAAGATACTCAACCATAAATATATAGTGAGCTTTATTTGGCATGGTGAGAATACTGAACAATGTTGTTGCTAGACGTAGAGTCAGTCAGCAACAACGCAGAATCGGTAGGTTCGCACATCAATTCAAGTTGCCAGACCACATCAGTACAGCGAGATGGAATTGTCAAGTCAAACCCCATAGTGGTAGAGGTAATAGCAGTATTAGCAGTAATCGAAAAGATTAGGGATCGAAGATATGGTTTGAGAAGTATATCCCAGTGATCTGATTCATATAAATAAGAAGATATCTATCATGCAAGTGGTTGACTTTAAAACAAGCAACTTACGAGAGTTGAAATCATCATCTTTCAATAGGGAATAACATAAAGCAATCGTTAACAAATTGAAGAAGTTGTAGTTTCCCGTTAAAATTATCGAAAGTTGAAGAAGTATCTAAAATATAACACATTAAATTGGAAAATCAAGGGAATATAATAGATAGAATAAATGTAGATACTATTATTTATGTACTAAACGGTTGTAGAATTAGTTAAAAAGGATTCAACTTTGCAAAGGCCTGCAGACAAGAATACTACATAGCTCATGTTTTATGTACATTCCCCTAGTAAAACATGAATTATCAATAAGGAATTATAGTCATTAAAGACAGTTTTGCGAATATTATTGTCGAAACGGCTAAAGAATTCACTCCAATTTACAAGAATGAACAAGATATGAAAAACTTGCGATATGAAAAACAGGATAACAAATAACATCGACCACTGCGGGAAACTGTAGGAAGATATAATTTTGGGAAAATAAACAGCAGTGAAGTGTAATTTATTGGATTATATAGAACCAATAACTTAGTGGAAATGTTACTAAGATTGATTTCAGGTTATTTTTCTCATCTTAAAACATAGGTTAAGATAATTGCATGGACCATAACGTGATAGTTTGGACCTCCAAATATGACACAGACAAACAACTAGTGATCACAGAGACCCCCCAAATGCCCTAGTACGACCGGAAGTGGCGTGGATTAGCTCCGTCTCTCGGAATATGGCCATGTTTATGAAGACACTGCCAGGAAAGTCCTACTCACTGCCTTCTAGCGGCAGGGGTATTGCTTAGGAAATCGAGAGGATAAAAAGCGAATTTCTTGAGCCTTAACAGAATTAGTAAATATGAAGGATCCACGTAGGAGAGTTGAAAAACCCTGATTCCAAAACACTGGTGCGAATGGGCTTCAGTATCCCGATGGAACAAATCGCGTACACACCTACTGCTGGTCACCGACTACCATGTGACTGCATCTCCTGACGTTGCCCTGTGGACTTAGCCTCTTGGTCAAGGGCTCGAAGAATAACCCTGTAAGAAAACTACCTGCTTCGGTTTGCGTACTCGGGCAGTATTATAGTCCCCACACGATTCCAGTGACTTGTGTGAGGCATATGTTTTGGTGCCCTTTATATTTAAATGATAACCATAGGATTCTTCTTGAATATTGTGTTGAAGTTCTTATCATTTAAAATGACTTTCCATACTTCCCAAAATGTCTGGTTTCGCTGGTGTCAGTATTGCACTAAGCGCTAGATTAGAGGCAGTGCTAATCCATTGGGTCCTCATCAACAGTCGATTATTTACCGTTAGATTAGAAAGCTCCATGAAAGTGAACAGCGATCGGTGTGATAAACGATGCCTTTTCGTTATCTACGCCTAAACGCCGACAGACTGCAGCCCGGATGCAGTTAGTGGTCCTTAGAGAGTGCTATCGACAGATATCATAGTACTATTCGGAGACTCAAATGAAGAGATCGAGCGTCTAGGCACGAGGAAGTCATCTGGGTGGCCAACGGGAACTTGTTGGTCACATGTTAGATAACAGCAATCGTCCACCACAGCTTTGCACAGGCTACTAACTGTTTTTGGCCAGCGCTAACTATCGCACGGTTATCGCCAATAAACTACCTGGAGTCCTCTTTCTGTATCTCAAGCGTGGACTCGGATTGATCACATCGCGATCAGCTACCACTAGCATGGTTGTTTACAAGACTACCACTCAATTGGAGCACTTATCTGGACCCTGATTATGCTCTTGTTTGCGCTAGTCTTATCTTAAGTTTCAGCAGTCAACGAATTAATTGTCCTGAATAGACTAATTTCAGTAGCTTCTATTGCAACTAAATATCAAACCGAGTCAGGTTCAAGGCTAGCTATCGACTCACCGAAAGAGCAGATGAGCACTGACTGCAATTGCAAAACACCATGAAAATAGTGATTGAAGTCGCTTGCAGCCTCGCAAAAGGTCTCGCTTATAAGCACCAGGTTTCTACAGGCTCCATACGACTCACTGGTCTCATTCAGTAGCTGCGAGTTTGACTTTTATGTAATTAAACAGTGCACAGTTTGTGTAAAGACCGAGAAACCTGGTGATCGGAGTGTGTTAACGAAATGGAAGCAGTAGCTGCATTTGGTAACTGCCGAAAGCTCTTTCAGCTCATCCGAGCAACTGGTGGCTTCTAGTATGAGTAGAACAATCAGAAACCAATCAATAACATTTATTGATGTCTTGGACGATGGGCAGAGTTCTTCGGGGAACAGTTTAGCTGCTTTGCTGTTACGGTGACATCAGACTGTCCTATCGTTCATTGTTGATGACGACTGATCCACCTAACGAGGTGGAAAGGCACTAGGAACTTCAACTATTGGTGTGGTACAAACGGCCAGGCCCAGATGACTTGCCTCCAGCGTTTTTTGAGAATGGTAGCGACCTACCAGCCATATGATTGATATGATCAATAGATGAAGTAATGAAACTTCATCAGTTGAGGTGGTTGGGACATGAGATACATATGCCTAACCACCGACTGCCTCGACGACCTTTGTTTTGTAGTGTAAGAGTAGGTTGGAAGAAAGTTAGGGGTGGCCAAACCAAAACATGGCAGAAATCCGTGAAGTTATTGACGAGTGGACTTAGCCATGTCGGTAATTGTCGACTACCTGGTTGGGGTCCGCGAGATGATAATAATCGATGGTTAGAGACCCTGAATGACGTGGCTCAAAACCGTTCGCAATGGCGCCGGTGCATTTATTCATTGTGTTCTCTCAAATCCTAATCTTCTAAATCCTTCTACCCCTCTAGTTTTGACTTTCTAAACTTTTCTCACTGAATCATATTTCTTGAATAATATCTTCCAATCCTAACCTCTCCGATTACTCCCAATACCTTTACTACCTCTTCTACTTTTGGATTTGAATTGACAATTTTATCTCTGTGCTGATGTAGTATGGTGACATGAACTGATGTACCTACGTACAAAATTCTACGTTGTATCTGACTGACTGATGATTGACTGAGTTATTCACAACCGTTTGGAAATTAGAGTGTTTCAACATACTAGAATGAGTCGAAAGATGTCCCTATACGTAAAAATGTTTACGTCATTTATGTGACGACATTTAGGTAACAATAAGTCTACTACCAGATGTTCAAATTACCGGCTTCCATTGCAATTCGTAGATTGTTATCGAGGAGTAGGGTGGTAGAAAAAGAATAGAAAAATACATAGCCAAAAATGTTGTTGCTGTAACATATATCTTTTTACACACGAACCACTGTTCAATTGCAAGTGTAATAGTGTAGTCTGGATAACAGGATGAGGTACCTGGCTTCATAGAGTTCAGAATCCCGATTTAAGAAATACAAATATCCATAAAAAACTGACTGCTATAGCTATAACATACCTGGGAATAAAATGACACGAGGCGTGTAGTTCGGAAGGGCAGGAAGAACAAAAGTGGCATTGGGATTTCGATTATAAATGTACCAACGACACACAGGCTATGAAACCATCCTGGAAGGTGGTGTGCATACCAAGCTAGAGGAGTTGGAATACACTAAAAATAAGTTATGATTAAGAAGTCAAAGCCACCAACTGTTGGATACCTGAGACTGATAGTGCCAATGTAATGCTTTTAAACCCCACCAAGCAGGACATTCACTGGTAAGTTTAACTACCCCAGAGGCGAACATCAGCCGGAATAGAAGCCATCGTAACAACCACATCCCTATTTTATCATTAGCTGCCACTCGTGGAAGAGATATGACTGCGCCAAAACTTGACAAAAGGATTGCTATAAAGCCGGACTCCAGAAGTAAGATATCCCTACGTGACTGTTATAAATTTTTTAGAATCTTACCATTGAAACCACAAGAACGTTTGACCAACCTTTTATCAGTTATTAGTACAAAAGCAAACAAACCTTCATGGCACCGAAATAGAGCACCCACAGTGCTATGAAAACCGGCATTGTCCGGAAGGCTATGAAAAAACTTGACAGGAATGACAAAGCGATGCCCACAACAGTCACAAGTTCCAAACAAGTGTATGTATCTATTTGCAGGAAATCAGCAAACCTTATGACGTTTGGATTTCTAATGAAGTCCGATGCGTCGTTTGGTGCTGTCTAAAGTAATTATTAACGAGTACTCACCATTTAACGATAAGGTTTGAATAGGCATCACACCATTCTCACTGTACAACCCTGAAAAAAGGTCACAAAAGTTATTATACACTTACCAGGAAGCTGAATGTACAAAGAAGCAAAAGCAAATAAGTAAATAAAGCTTAAACAGAGTAGAAACCGCTCTTTTGGGATAGATACATCAACACGCTTCATTGTTACCACTATTGTTGAATGTACCGGGCTGAAGAGCGTCGTGTAAAAGAGAGATGTTATAAATTTGTTAACAAACATGATTTTTCCAACATAAGTCACATGTTGAAGTTCCACATGTGTCATATCTTGAAAAGCCTTATTAAAAATGAATTTTCCATCACATATATTTATTCGAGTAGAAAGGCAAATCAATTTTGTTTCTTTTCCAGGGGGTGGACCAACATCTCCCAGAGATCCTCTTATCACTACACAAGCCCCCAAGAATCAGCTTCCAGATAATAAAAATGTTACGTGGTAAACATATGGAATGATTATCCAGATTAGTCGAGAAACATCAAAAGAGCGAACATTTTTCATAATAAAATAATGGCGAAAGCAAGTGACAAGTTTAAACCCTCAGGATCATCTGTCATATGTTTTGTTCTTCCTTAATATATTTGTTCTTTCCTTCCAAAGAAATATGCAACTGATAATGGCGATCGACAGCGTGTGTTTATATTTAAACCTATAGAGAGATAAATATGCGACAACTTGGATATTTTAATGGCCCTCAATGAAGGGACTCATTCAAATACTTAACACAGAGATCCTGTTTCAGAGTAATGGTTGTAACCTTTGAAACACAAATTATTTTACAATACGTCGTGTATTTTAACAGTAGTAGGAGGTTTACAATTGGCTGTTTCAGTAAGTAACGGTAAATAAATATCCGAAATAAATGATCCTATAAGTCTTCGACAACATTTCTGACCCAATTAATTTTACTGGATACACCCCAGCTGAGAGAAACCTGTCACTTATCTCCTCCTGATCACAGTTGGATAGTCCATGCAATGGATCTCATAGCATCAGCTAGCAGGCTTAGTTTACTCACACCTCAACATCCCGACTACCGTTCAAATGTATCTTCGATCCTCTTCATTTCGAACTTCTTGTTTGACTAGGTTTTAGGTATTTTCGGCCCGAAAGGTGTTAGAGACAACAGTGTTGTCAAACTATGAAATCGGCGACATCCTCAGAAGTAACTGGTATAAAATAAGCCAGTCCCAAATTCAAATCAGCGTTTCCGTTCGCCTATCCCTAGCGCCTGAGGTGATAACGGGTATCTTATATTTGCATAATGTTACTTACTTAAATCTTCTGGTTACCCCCTCCTAGTTTCCATATGCAAATACTCTTTGTATGGAGCTTCCGCTGTTACTGACTACTGTTCATTGCCATCCCCATTAAATATAATTGCATTTTGTACGCTTGCCAGGTAATCGACTCACCGCTTCTCTTGTTTGTTTATTCCTATTTCCTCCTACTCACGCTAGTCTGTGTGCTTTCCTAGTACAGTAGGTGTCTTCCAGATGCAGGCTTACCACTGCAATGGTTCTAGATGGCCGGCGCGTTTGCCGTCTACGTTGTTTTCCCGGCATATATGCATTTGTAGGTGGTGGATATTTTAGATAATAATAAACCTGAATCGTCTTGTATTTTATAGCCAAATAAGGTTTGTGTGCCGTGTTTTGGCATTTTTACCCATTCGTAGTTGTTTCGATATTGTCACGATATAAAATACAAATGAGGAAACGTAATGAAAATGCTTCAAAACTGTTTTTAGATTACAGTGAGTTGATATAAATATACGCCTTCGAGGGATTACCAAGGTAAACCCCGATAAATCCAGTAGTCAGAAATAAGACTGTTCTGGATGAAGAAGTATATTTATCGCTGGCCTTGTGATATCGAAATAATATCAAGACCGGAATAAAAAAGCGGCTAACAACTACCGAAGAGAGAGGAGGAATATGAATGCCACGCTTGTGGCGCGCGAGATTGTATCTAGTACAGTTAAACAAAATTGGGTACAATATAACAATTATTGTGAGAATTAAGTACAATAATAAAGGTTTACACTTCAGTAATTGTGTCCTCTTCGTAAAATTATGACTCTTCATTAGCCACTCCTCTAGAAAGGGTATACAATTTCGATACGTAGCGGTTTCATGCTAAGAAGATAAGTAAATCCATATCAAAGAAAGCGTTTGCTGGCGATTTTGTGGTAACCAAAGAATAACGAAATCTTGACAGAAAAGAGAGGCGAAATCGCAGAGAATGTCAAGCAAAAATGTCAACAACACAAGCAGAAAGTTTGCGCGTAAAGAGTGTGATAGACAAAAAGTACATCTAAACAATCACTGGTACAATTGGTTATAATAATAAATGTTGCTATTAAACCATTCGCGTTCTCTCCGTGAAGTGCATCCACTACACTTCTGTGCGATGATCGCCTAAACCTTATCCCTCTATCCTATCGTAAAATGTAGGGTTATATTTGTAAATGGATTTCTACGGTGGCAGTTCCAATGGGTTCCAATAAGTGCACTCCGAACGCGTATCTCCCAATTCAAGGTCCAGAAAAAGCAAAAATTCTAGGAGAAAACGGTCTTTATTAATAAAAAGATGGAAATACAAAGCAGTACCTGGAATTGATGCACCTTCCAGGTTACAATTACTCCGAAGAGTATCCGAAACAAAGATAAATAAGTGACGTTAAGTCCAACAGCTACCGTATCAATCCAAATATGGCTATAGCCATATTAAGGATCAAATTTAAACAACATATATACAGATCAGAAGCAAACACAAAAACTTCAATATAAGTACAAAATATGGAAATAATAACAATATACAATGATAAATTCTCAAATCGGAATCAAATAAAATACCAAAAATGTCAACAGAAAAAGTCCGTCATGTCATAACAAAAATATGTAAACATGGAGGGATTTTCCAAAAAACAAAACATTCAAAAAGGATTCTACAATATTCTTCTGACATCCTGCAATTTGAATAAGTATTTGAGTGTTAACATGTCTTATCTCTTTATTCCCTTCAGAACTAAGCATCTATAGAGGCTACTGCATGTAGTTACAAAAAGAGCGATCAAGTAAACTGAGTGTGGTGTTCGCTTTTTTACATCGAATAGTCAATGAGTAGAACTCGATACACAAACAATTGGCATAGGTGAAAAATTTTAACAAGCGTCTGATTCTTCATTGGAAAACAACCTGCAGGGAATTATGCAGGTCGACCGACCTAATATGCTTATTATTGAAACTAAAACTGACTATCTTATAGACAGCTCTGAGAATCGGCAGCTGGATGGCAAATGGTCCTGATTAAAATGTCCATTTAGTCCACAGTTAGCTCGTTGATCAACTGAGGATTAGTAGAGCAGGTAATTGCAACTTAGTTCAGATACATGCTTTAATAATTATCTCTGTTAAAATAATTTGGAATCACATAATGTCACTTGCAGAGTACATACACAGAACAGTTTTCCCAAAAGCACATATAAGAGTACAGAATAACGCTTCACAGTTTACACAGTAAAGAGAACTTTGACCAAGTAATTTTAACAAAACAAAATATTATATTTGAATATATATAAAAGTACATTAAAACTAGCAAAGTCGTTAGACAACAAAAAGATTGACTCATGTGTACATTCGAATATCAGAAAGCGAACAGATTCATGGTTTTTAGCTCTGACCTACTTGCATTCACCTAACATACCGAGTTAATCATCAACATTGAACCGTCAAAACAATATTCACCTCCAAAACTTGTTCACTGAAACCATACACTTTCTTGTTTATAAGATCAGGATGACTTTAGAGTCTGTCACTGAGATTCTTAGGCTTATGAAAGTTATTATCAATCAACATTTACCATCACGTGATGCTTCAATCCTCGTTTCCTTTCAAGTTCCTAACTCCCTGGTCAAAAAACAATATGCTTTATTGAAGCTGAAAATAACTTTTCAATCAAACAAAATATGGAAAAAATTTCGGTACAGAAAGGTAAAATATGGGAAATATAGTGTTGTTTCTCCTGTCTCCTTTTCTGATAACTCCACTTCTCTACTGTTGTCCACTTACTGAAAGCTGCTGAAGTTTCTCAATTATTATCCGTAAATGAATGCTACATTCCATATTTTCATTTGGTTGATATAAAGTAAATATCATCTGGTATGAGAACTTTCTTTACGCAAGCCTCTTTCTTTCATTTGATACTTATGATAAAATCCATCTTCTGAACAGTATATTTACTCTCTAAATCGGTGTAACACCTTTTACAAATAGTGTCACGATGTCAACAGAAGGATAATGTGCATTCGGTCATTAGGGTGTTGAAGCGTGAAGGTTACACGTCCAAACGAACTCCAGATCAGAAGATTGTATATGGGATATCAACGTTTATTAATAGAAAATCGAGTGATATTAGAATAATATCACGTGTTCAGCTTGTACAATCGATGATAACACGAGACGATCGTTAGATCCGCAGGGATGGCGTGGGTGGCGCTCGAAAAGTGACTTTTAGTATAAATAAACAAATGTTATACAATAAAACAGTTAATGTTACATATGTTCAATAATAAGTATTTGTACGTCAGTAATCGTATTATTTCGACGAAATAGTTCCACTACAGGAGCCCCCCCCTAGAAAGGGTTTTACACTTTCGATATGTAGCGGCTTCGTTCAGGGGACTCGTCGGCCAATATTCGGTTAACGGGCAGAATGGTTGACGACAGGAAGCGACTGATGAAGCTCGAGTTGTCACCGGGAGTTTGTCCGCTGCCGTGCCAATAATTATGCGCCAAGTTCGTCCACCGGGTTAGCATACCACACCAGCGTGGCTCGTATCCAGTGTCTGATAATTGCGTTCGTAAGGGTCCGGACCAAATAAAGCTGCAGACGTAGGACGGAACCAGATTGAGCGAAAGAGCCAGAAACGACCAGTGCGAAACCATTCGTATACCAGATATATTCGTCACCAGAAAATCGACTGAGTGCATTGACTAGAGCGTGGGTGATCAGGCCAGCTTTCGCCAAGGTTGACTGAAGTCGACGGTACCGACAGGACAATGGTCGGAGGTATAGGCTCGGGATAAAAAAAAATCAAAGAAAAAGGAGAAAGAGTGTAGCATGCGTGTAGTATGATGGTAAAATCCTATGCCGACCCTGTGAAGGATTGGTAGTTATT